AATTATAATATATGAGTTACAATGTACAAAAAAAGGATAATTAACGCTTTTCGTCGGTTCAAATATCTTTCAAAACATTTTTATTGACATCGTAATTAATGTGCACGGCCATGCAGGTCACGCATTTACCAGCAAACAACCGCACATCAAAAGAAACAAATTAAATACATAACTAAATACATAAATAAATAATAAGGCAAGGTGTAATACAGATGCCATAATACACGAAAACAACGGGTTGCAAAATCGAATATATTCCAGTTACACAGGTATAACAATACAGTGCGATACACTTTGAAATTCAGAAGACAAATAATGAGGTTCTACATAATGATTCTATTATTTATGTCATTTCATCCATTTTGCTAAGTAAAAATATTTTGCTGATGTTTTTCGGTATCCATTTGCTGTTACTGTTAAATCTCATATGTATGTTCCCAAAGTAGTTTCAGATTATAAAAGGATAAACGTTCCCTGAACATTTTTTATGGCAGCTCACTTTACGTGTACTAATACGATGGATACACGAAAGTGATTCAGCCTTTCTTACATAATTTGTTAGATTTTGGTTTCTTTCGTATTGTCTTCGTGAGGCGATAAAATCCCGACGACACCGATGATCACAAAACAAATATCTCACGATTTGACAAGATGCCTTAGGCAGGTAAAAATGAACATACAAATTCAACAAGAAAATGAACCTTTGCAAAGTTTTTTCATCGCCCACGAAGCTTATGCCAAAGCCTGAGAAGTTCCACCAAAGGTCACGAGATGACAAGAATGGCACGATGATCTTTTTAAAATCAGAGCGGAGTTTGAACACTTTTTATATCGTTTGTTCTGTTGATGTGAATTTCGGGACAGGCTGACACCTGTATAAAGCTATTACATAGTACAAAATGATTAACACTCAGTTAAACATCAATGACCAAAGTTTTGGACAGGATCGAAAGCTCTGAGGTAGGCTTCAGAAAACGTGTGCGCAAATCAGATATTTTTACTTTTATAATTACTATTCCATCTACTCTTTCATTTTTGAAATCTGTTCCATCATAAATTCAATAAACATGCATGTTGCTGTCTTATCTGCAAATAATTCATTGAAAGGCGTGTCTCTATCTAGGTTTTCCTTGGTATTTATATTATCAATAAGTAATCTAAATGTTTCAAGGCACGAGAATTCGGATGAGTCCAACACGTCAAACGCCGTGTTTAAAAAAAAAAGAAGCAAAAATCTGATACTTCACAGAAAAAGACCTAGCGAATACACAGCTCGGAGCTGGCTGAACGAACAGTTCGCGTGATTTTCTTTTCCTGTATTTTCTACCATATACTTATTAGAGATTCTTTCAACAACAGCTAAAATCAAAGTGACTACCACGATGTTTCAGTGCCTCAAAAGACACCTTCATCAGGGAATAAGGCTATAGCTTTTTTAGTGGGCTTTACCTCAGTTAGTCACCCACTCCTATGTTCCTTCCGTAGAAATGGCAAGCAGAGGTAAAGGGGAGAGATGCTCTACCAGTTCTGTTAAAACTTGTTCCTTTGAATTTGATTTTTATGTGCATAACCTCCAAAATTATTCTGTATTTATCGTAACATTGTGTGATGAAATTCATTGCCATATTACCATATGCTATATTAACAGCGGGCTTTGACCTTACCACGACCGCTGAAATCACGAAACTCTAGGTCGTTTTCTATGCTTCCGTAATACTTTCTTGCTTACACACCAAACCAGCAAATTTTAACTAAACGTGAAATCGCGACCGTTTGGAGAACGATTCTGGTATACTTTTGCCATCGATCGCAGGGCTATGCCCTGCGGTTGCATGGACTTTTGCGAGTGTTTTGGGCAGTAACTTAAAAAAACTCTAGGCGGAAGAGGAAGGGTGATGAAGACAAGGAGAAATGTGAGACTATTTGGACACCAGCTAGCATCCTCGGGCGGGGCGACCAATGGTAAGAGCAAGCCAAAATTCGTTCTCCAAGCGGTCGCAAGCCCGGTTTAACGGGACTATAGACACATCAATGAAAGATGTGTTTGCGTGAAATAGAAGACACAACTTCCCTTGTGACCATGGCCATATAATATATTTGATGTATCTTATATGTAAAGCACATGGTACCATTTGCCGAGTAAAGAGATTATATGTCAAACCTGGCGACGACCTGTTTCACGTACCTTGTGCTATCGCCCCTTGTTCCAGCGTATTTGACGGTAATACGATTCTGTGTTTGGCATTAGATACACATGCCTAGCAAATATTTCAAAACGGAAATTCTTCTATTTCACACAAAAAACAAACAAGAGGAATCAAAGGGGAAATGATCAGCTGTGATACACGGCAAATGCCAGAAGCGCATCCATTGCCAATGCATAAATGCTAAGTTTATTTTATAAACAGCATTAGCAAAAAAAAAAAAAAAAAAAAAAAAGAAAAAAAGGCTGAAAGAAGCAACCCGCATAATCTTATTACCTGTATAACGGCAATATAAAATCTGCACGCAATTTGTTAACCCTTTAACCTGTTTAATTTTCTGGCCAGCCAGCATTACTGAAATACGATCAAATGGTTAAATGCTTTTTAAATCAACAAGTACCTTAAGCATACCTAGGCAATCTAGCTGCCAACAACATAAGCAGATGATTGTTTTCAAAGCATGTTGGTCGAAATGGGTTTCTGAAATGATAACGCGTGTATAAAATTCACAGTAAAACTCTCATCATATCAGTATACGTTTAGACCTGGCAAACAATTATGGAAATAATGATACCAATGCAAAGTGTGTCACGAAAACCATCACTCCTGTTTGACAGAATATTGGCAATTTGATCATAAATGCCCTCAAAATTCCCGGCGGGTTGAAAAAAGAGATTGATACAGAATCGAAAGTATTTTTCCACCTAATTTCATTTAGAAGCAGTGTTAATTATAACCTTAAGTAGATCTTTCGTTCGTGTTTCAATTTCTATGGATGTCAGTGCTGCATGACAGACAGCTACTCTAATTAGCACTTTCTTTAAAAGGTCGTGACGCATTACTCAAAGAAAGAATAAGACAGTGAGGCACTGACGTAAAATAATTAGAAATTGCCGCAGTGGGATTTAATGTAGCTTTTGACAACTGTGGCCAATAATAACCTGTGTAAAAAAACTACCTAGAACCACGTGTGAAATGGCTTCCAGGATGGTTTCACATTAAGGACAACATTTAAGAAGGAAATAAGCAAAAAGACGAATCCTCCGGTCAGAACATTTTACACAACAGTATTGCACAATCAAAGCTTTCTCAATTATTCTTTATCCACAGATAAGAGAATAAAAGTAGATATAGTAAAGAAGCTTGTGGTAAATTGTACGAAAAGCTTAGTGCTTTAAAAGTTATATATATATCAATACACTTACATGTGTATCAGTAATCCAGCGCTTTACCGCGAATCTTACCAAAAGTGAACCGGGCTGTATATGATATTTTGTCGACTGCACCAATCGAGATGAAAGGAAATCCTTTTCCTTTGAAATCTGTTTAATGCAATGAAATCTATATTGTGGAGAGGAAATGCAAAGAATGGCTTGGTGTAAGTTGACTACAGGCTTTAATCGCAGCCATGATGGCAAACACACTCTCTCCCGAGTTGGTCATGGAATGCTCCATAATGCTGCTCTGGATACGCCGCACATTTAGAACACAACAACAGGATAAAATGACACCAGAATTATGCATGTTTTTTACGATTCGCTTCAATGATTTGTCGTTGATTGCAAGTTTTTTTTTTATTTCATATATTCTTTTCGCAAATTAGGCCTGTTCATATGAAAAGGTTAAGCTTGGCTGCTTTTGCTGGTAATTACACTGGCTACATTGCAGCTTGTATCCCAACCATCTCTCTCTCTCTCTCTCTCTCTCTCTCTGGCATATGTGGTTTTGCTGGGTTTACGACATTAATATTGCCGTGTTGTCATTTTATCAATGTTGCGTTATAAATGTAGAATACTAGGCTTGAATATCAAGCTCTTTCAAATATAAAACTACAATTTTATCACGTTGTTTATAGACCTGCATTCACGCCAACGCTACATACATCTTTTGCACCTTCTTCACACAGACAGTGGTAATTATCTCAATGACAATGGGCCAGTCCAATATATGTCTTTTTGTTAATGCCTTTCATTCAAAAACGTCTTTTTCGAGGAAGCAACACTAGCATTCATACTATCTATTATTCAACGTCAGTGCATTCTACATGCAGTGTCATGAATACACCGGTGTCTTTCATCTAGAAGTATGCCCATTATGATTTTTTCTGCTGCATATATGTCGTGCCAGTAGAAGAGGCGCCGTCTCTTTCATAATGCGTTATTATTAGTGAAACGTTTGACTAGGTAATATCGACATTCTAACTATTGAATTGGCAGTATGTACTTCCTAGCTTAGATATTAAACCTGACAGATCTGTCTGCCTATACATGTGTACAATGCGAATTCGACCGTATGTGCATAAGCTGCCGTGCACCGAGCAAATGGATATCAGTTGAGATAGACCAGCCGCGCTTATTGAATAGTGCACATTTGACTGACATCTTTAAAGAGGCTATATCAGTTACAGTCAGAGATTTAGGAGATTAATATTTTAGTAGACGCAGGTTCACACAATCATTCAAACATATGCCACGAACTACGGACAAAATTTGAATTGGAATCCAATGCTTGGCTTGTCAACATACTACATTTCAAGGCGTGATATCTCTACATCAGAACTAGATCTTACCAAGCATTGATGTAAATTTTGCGGCGTTCACTCAATCCAGTACTTACGTCAAGGTTGCAAAATATTTGGTCATATTCAACAGTTAGATGCCTCTAACATAAACAATTGTTCCTTGACCTTAACAACGATTGGAACCGACCCAATTCTCTATAGACGACTCCATTATGTGGACGTGATCTCACAGCTAATCAGACTCGTTCGATACAGAGATACAGTTTCTTACTTACAGGCGCTGTTCTAGGCCACTAGATACCACTTCTTGCGCTCTGGTGCCTCTTCGTGCCATTCTAAAACCGTCTTCTCCAAGAGCAATGAACAACCACCTGTTAACGAGAGCACGTTCAATTAGATATCGAGTCAGCAATGAGCCCGCCTCAATGAATTCCGACTTAGGAACGAATAAGCATATGTTGCTCTGTGCTATTTATAAATACAGGCCATTAACTCACACATATATTCCTGTGGCTGGGTAAATCAATGACAAACCGTTCGAAACGTCGTTTGTAAATGGTGCATTTGCCTACATTGTATACGCGACTACGTTCCTGCAAACATATTGAACAGAACCTTCAAATCGCATTCATGCTATCAAATAAATATTAGATAACATAAAATATATATCAGAGTTATATCTATTTCGGTTCGTTAAAAACCGTGAAAAGATTAAAAGCCTTACCTTTGCGTCACCACTACACCGTCTGTAATTAGGTCTTGGCAGGTTCGATAGGTTACGTTTGAGCCTGCTAATGTTATTCGTGGGTTTAACCTTCTCAAAGCAATCCCCAATATTGGTCCAGATGCTTTCAGATGTGATTGATGCGTCGAGCTAAATTAAATAGCTACACGACACGCTGTTCTCGTTCTCTGATCCAGTCGGGAAAAGAAGACTGGAGAAAGAGAAAATGCTTGTTATCTGTGCTGATGCTGCCAAGGGAACTGGTCGCTGTGCATACATACTATTGAGTGACTTCTTTCCATCGCTGTAACACTAGATCTACTGCGTCACGGTTTTGCCAAATAATAGAAACCTAATTTCTGTTTTCCAATCATTTCTGTCACTGAAATTGCCGCAGCGAGAATGCTTTCAGCGGTGCTGTCATCTGATACTGCAGTGATGTGACCGGCAATAAGTACCTAGTCCGTGGAAATGTATTGAAGAGACAGCTGTGCGTGGGTTGGATGGTAGTGCTCTGTGAGGGTGAGGAGGGGATCAATTGTTAGCATCACGCAGACTTCAAATAGTTCTTTCTTCTTCTCAGCACTGGCTCCCCTACTGCCAAAGAGTTATTTAATAACGGTTGCCTCACGACTGTTGAGGGTTCATTAGGGGGCAGTTGAATTATTTCAGTAGGCTTTTTCTTCTATCCTTTACGCTTGCCGGTGTGGAATAGGTATATCTCGACTCAGTCTCTTATGTAAGGTTTTGTTTTCCTTCCGATGAACAGTTCGCAGAAATCAGTTCAGTATGTTTTCCATCAAAGTTCCTGGTAAAATTGCTGGCATTTAGAAAAACAATAATGTGTTGGTAAACCACTATCAAGTTAATTTATTTAAGTATACTAATAGGTAAAATCTAAATTGGTTTCAATGTATGTTCAAGACAATCATAGTAACTGCCGATATTCCATTTCACATACATGCAGTGTTCTGTATACAAGCACTTATGCCTCTTGATTTGATTTTTTGTGATATATGTGATCTTTAACTGAATTCTTTTCATATAGCGCCATATGTTTTAGAGATTCTATTACCTATAGCTAATATTCCAATATCCAGATATTGTCCTCCATCTACATATAAATCTACTTGACTCTAGTTACCCATCAGCCCATTGATCAAACACCTTTCCAAGAGACTTAGCTTTAAATCAGATGTATATACATTACCTTTCTCCCATATTTCTGCTGTGTCAAAATTCTATTCCATGGTCTAAAATGTCCATGTCGTGTGTGAATCAATTTCCCTATCCTTGCAATATTTGAAAAGTACAGATTCTGCTGCTTGGGCTCGTGATAAAATCAGTTCCCATTTTTCTTTTGGAAATGTATCCTGAATATGGTCCCGCGTGTTGGCTTCACACCTCACGTGTCTAAGCTGCGTGTCAACAGTACAAGCCCGTTTTGCAACTATATAAGCACGTACCGTAGGTGATACTAGTACTGTGCATGTTGTGCACCCTCTGTCCACCCAAACTGTATCCGTTTCCTTTATATCCTGCTATTTGTTGGCTTTATTTGTAATTACATATGTGCAACCTACTGTGGCAGTTTCCAGGCCTCTAATCCTAAGCATAGATAATAACCAACTCGATCTTGTTACCACGTAGTTCGCATCGTTCTAAGCCACTTTGAAGCCTCATTAACAAAGACTGGTTTCCCCTTATGGTTTCATGGCACGCTTATGTAAAGCTTGTGTTTTAATATTGAAGATGACCTATATCGGAAATATAAGAAAACGGATGTAATTCAATTAAAGCAGTGGCATGGTAACTGCAGATATCAGATGGCATCCTTTACGGAAATGTTAAGCACGCAATATATTTGAACGCTGCTATTCCAAAGACATCTGGGTTTATTTGCATCAAAGTAGCACGTAACATAAGTGATCCTAAAATGTCGTCAAAATTTTGACGACAAAAACTAGGTTGTATCCTTTAGCTTTTTATATTACATTAAAATATAAATGGAACGATGTGAAGATAAGATTCTAATCTATACTACGATTCCTTGCCTTAATTGATGGATAGAAACCAAAACAAAAGAATAAGGTTTCCAAGTCATTTAATTCAACATTTTCCATGGGGTTGTTGGAAATGAACCGTGTCGTGCTTTAATATAACGCCACACAATAGATAGATAGATAGATAGATAGATAGTTCGATAGATAGATAGATCGGAAAGTAGGTAGGAAGAAGAATATGCAGCATTTTGCTTATCAAGCAAAATTCACAGAAACCATAATAAATGCATTATGAGTTATGAGTTCTATGCACTGTTTTCGGATACTGATAAATTATTTATACTTTTTGATATCTCTGTACCTAATTTTTTAAAGATAAACCAAGTATTATCAGCCTGTCAGCTTTCTTCTCGACATCTTGTGCAACTAACACAGTCACTTGTTGTGAACGCCTGATGATTAACACATCCATGGGTGAAATAAACATTTTACGTAAATAAAACACGCTTCTGATTGCCATGTATTGTGACAAAACTTGTTTGTGGTGGCTTTTGTTCCGGCTAATGTAGAATATTGGAAAACAAAAAAATTAAAAACATGGCCAACCAAAAAAAGAGAGAGAGAGAGAGAAAAGCTTTAGTTGGGTCAAGTTCTCCCAAAATTACCTTTAATTACCTTTTTTTCTTTTAAAATAATTACCATACTTTATGTTTTACTGAAATGTCACAACCTCTCTGAATAATGAAACTACCATCCCTTCTCAAATTGCAAATTGGTAGGCCTACGATGCAAAATGATACTAAATACCAAACCAAGGTAATGTTGGTTTAAAAACATAAATGTGTGTAATGCTGTATTATTGGGATTGGGACTCAGTGTGGATTATTAAGTGCTAGAAACTTGGCTATGACAGCCATTTCAATTTGCAATGTGCTTTTTGTCACGTTGGTTCCTGAAAATAACACGTCATCACAATATGCGTATGTGATTCTTTATGTCATAATAGCACATTATGCGCCAAACGACTGGATTGTAAGCGTGCGTAGGACTGTAACAAAGAATGTTCTGAGAACCTTAAGGCAACGTTAGGTTAATGTTACAATAAAGTTTGTTTCCCAGGAAAGTTTTGTCAATGTTTTTGGAACATTTTTAGAAACGTTACACAATAACATTTAGAGAATATTTTTAAAAAAATTAAAAATAGGGCCTTACGCTCACCAGTGCACAATATGCAATCACACACACTATAAACAAAACGGTTACTGATTTTGATACAGTTAGGTTAACTGAATATTTAGTCGAATGTATATTGACCGAGTGAATTGTTGAATATTGAACGAAGTTTAACTGATCAGTTTTAAGAGTGAAGATCTTGATTAGTTTTGGGAGCACCTTAATATGGATAAAAGCATGGAAAATTGCATATGAAGTTCAACCCACTGATTTTATCACCATTTAATCTAAAATTAACAAAAAAGTATAATTTGCAAATTTCATTAAAATTAACATACTTTAATATAAAGTGCAGGGTTAATGATAATAACAGTGACAGTGAAGAACGTTATTATTACGCTCTCTTAAGGTGTGCTGATGGTCTAACAAATACATGACCCTGTGGACACGTAATCACAACGTTCTGTGTTAGGTAAGTTTATATAAAGGGTACCATAAAGGGCGCCATGGAAAATAGTTACACTTCCTACTTGGCTAAGACGTGTATCTCGACTTTCTCACAGTATTATTCCATGTAATAAAATACTTCTTTTTGCGGGGCGGATATAAAGTGACCGGTAAACAAAAACTGCGATGAGGCCGATAAACAACAACCCAACTATGTCTCTCACACGCAAAAAATACGTTTGGGGCGTTATACATGAAGCCGAAGGCCCACATTTCATTCCAAGGATGGAACATCAGTGGCTCGGATGTCGGGTATCATCCCGATAAGTTTTCACTTTACGTTATACCAGACTCTCCGGTTGATCCCAATAGCACTACAACACGTCCACGGTTTCGTGCATATTGGCAAGTAAACGTATAAACTCAAGTTCCAGGTAAAGTTTCTTATGACAAAGAGCATGTACCTGTACTGCAATCAAAGTGTCTTGAAGACTTCTAGCACAATTTACCTTGAGACCTGTTATCAAAATAGATTTTACAGTTCACACAGTGACAATGTTCAATCAACTTAAAGGTTGCTCAACAAACTACACATCCTTTTAAGGAAGTGTTGAACATTGCTTAATTAAATTGGAGGTCGCTCAAAAACCTCCGCATCCTTCTAAGGAAATGCCCATGTCTTTCATAAGTGATACACAAGTTATTTTTTTACAACAAACGTCATCTCACGTTATTAGATGTCTTTAATAGGTGTCTGTTGTCGGTGATAGCTTCTCAATATGGGCACTTAGTTTTTGACATCTCTGATGACGCACTGTGCCCTGTTTCTTTGAAAAAGATCTTACTCGATGACGTTCGCATGGTGCCAAAGCTAGTTAAGTGTTTTAAGTATTTGATCATATTTACTCTCGATCATGCAAGTCCCACTTTAATTGCCATGTAAGTTTCGTGATTATTGGCTTGCCAAGGCACACATTTCATTCCAGGAATGGTGTTATCGAGATGTGTTAATCCTTTCCAGGGATTTGTTATAAGTGGAGAGAAAAACGGAACATGTTGCCTACTTCTTAATGAAAAATGATATATTTTGGTAGGAACCAATACCCGTATTAACTTTGTGATATGGATTTGTTAAAACTCATTAAGATATCCTCAATATAGGATAACATGTTATAAAACATGTTTATGGCAATCAACAAAAATTAAAAATGTTAATATTGGAACTGCGAGTAGCATAATTGCATTATATTAGCATTATATTTCCTACTGAAATATTGTATCCTACTCAGTGGTGGATCTTGAGTAAATGCTGTACTTACTTAAATTTCTGCATTCTGGTAAAGCAAATGGCTTTGGCTTGCACTTTGTTCCTGATGATTACTCTTGTTAAAGACGGCTATACATGTAGTAAATGGAAGTGGACTTATTACCTCTACCTTGTAGCACAGAAAAATAACCATGCAGCTCAGAAAAATAAAACATTCAGACAGCGGCTGACCTTTTCATTTTCCCTTTCCTTGTGACATGAATGTAACTCAAATTAATGCAATATGTCTGTGCAGACACTTAAGGGCATAAACTTATCTTCGTTTTGAGAGTAGAATCGTGACATTGTAGAGTACTGCTGGCTACAGGAGAGCAATTAAAGACATCTTTCGAGACAAATAAATCATGACCTAAAGACATGACAAAAAAGGGAGGCGCCCCCCAGTGTAAAAACCGACCCATCTTTTCAGGGCGATAACCATTTGTTTTCAATACATGTAACATATCAGACTGTCTCAAAATCGAACAATTTTTGTGCCAAAAATACATCTGAGAAGGTTTACATGAATTAGGTAAAAATGGAATCAGTTATAAGCCTAGATTACATTTGAAATGCGATGCCCTTACGGTGCACGTACATGTATACTGCCCGTAATACCCTTTTCGTACGGCGTCTGAGCTGAGATATACGGTGGCCGTGCCAAATAGCACGGAATCGTACTGGCCATTTAATGTAGACATACATGTACTCGGCGTACTCCGTAGCTCCTTACGGTTTCAAAAATTCTTACGGTCTTCCGCCACTGCTCTCAAGATCAGGTTAACTGACCTTTTTTATTTATCTACGGCGGAGCTAAGTGGGACGTTCAGTCGTAGATCCATCCCCCTTCTTCTTTTTTTTCTTCTTATGGCCTTTTGCAAATGAACATTTCTGCGGCTATTCCGTTCAGCCCTTGTGCTGTTGCATTAACGTATACATTTCATCATTATTCAAAAACATTTCGTGCACCACGTTACAGCGGATTAATTAAACGTTTACATTAGCATGAGTAATTGACTGAAAACATTCCATTAATTTTTTTGTAAAATGTCAAATTGTTGTAATAAATGTTAAGTGGACCAACTGATACTATTACGGTTTTTGATGTAGTTCAACAATTACAACTTTAAAGTCCCTTTTGTGCATCGTGTATTCAACATGAAACATACATTGGTTAACTATTGTTAGCTGAAGCAGAAAAGGGAGCAAAAATTTTAAAAAATATAATGATAATCAAAACAGCAAACATTTTTCGTCAACCAAGGTCATACTCCGATGGCAGTGTTGGCCGTTCGGTACATTAGTAAAGTGATGAATTGACGAGTCATTCAGTTGCACTTAAAAGCAAGCATTTGGAAATTGGCGTAATCAAAACTCAATTTGCACGGTAAATGTTGTTAAAATCAGACAATTTGCAAACGTTGTATCGATAGAAAAAAATGTGTAAAGATGGCGGCAACAGACTGCCTTTGATATTAACGCATCTGAGATGAGATCAGTACGGGTATGCAGCATTGCACAGTGCGTCTTCCACTCTGTCACAACAAACACAATGAGATTAGAAACACCAAAACAGCTATTGGAGTTTTTGGTACATGATCACAATTTTTTTTAAGTTTGCCCATTGGCTGAGAGGCAATGAGAGGCACGTGAGGTCAATTATTAAAGTGAGCTGACCTCCTAGTCAACTTACTCCTCCATCTGGTGCCCCCATGACCACTGCATGATCTAAAGTTATCATCGATAATTTTTCAATGGGTC